CACAGGAGGCCGATGTAGTTGGTGCCATCTTTGATTTTTGAATCTCAAATGATCTTTACTCCTGGCCTCAGGATGCCAGCACTTGCATGCATACCAGCAGTGAGAGGAGTGTGTGTGTGGGGGGGATCAATGCTACAACAAACTTCTCCAGTCTGGTGGGAGGGCATGGTGCAAGAGATGCATCTGACATGTTGGTTTAATTTTTCAAGACACACTTCAGCCCCTTTCACAACACACTGATGTGTGCCCAACACATGGATGGGTAAACACGGCTTTTAAGTTTTACATTACATGAACTAGAAAATTAACACTGAAATAACAGTGGTGAATAAGTTGAATATTCACTCCAGCCCCCTTTCAGGGTTGGGGGGACAGGGGAAATGAATTTCCTTTAACTCAGAAATTCCTTGCTTTGGCACGTTTTCTGTCCCAGGATTCATGTTATTTAAAGAAACTCTCGTTCGATCATTCTGTATTTTCCACATCTGACTAGGTGGCAAATAGACTTGCCACCTGGCTGTTCCTTTTTTTTTTTTTTTAATGGACTTGGACGTTTCTTTCTACTCCAAAGCCAAGAAAAATGAAGATGCCGCCAGAGGTGCGTGTGAGTGTTTTTAAAAAGGCCTTTAACAAACAGAAATAGATGCTGCATAGGACTCAAATTTAAAGGCACTCCCTGGATTCCACACCCCCTCAGAATTATCTTCTCAATCTTTGCCAGAATTAAAATTTCCATAGGAAGCGCCGTGAATTATGGCTTCCATTAAGCCTTGCTGCTTCTTCCTGTTTAGCATCGAGCGATTCCCTGCTGGAACTGCTTCCCATCATTTTTGCAGTCTATCATCTCCAGTACTTAAATCTTCTCTTCAGCTTGTCCACTTTTGTTTGCATTTCTTTCTTTCCATTTTTTTTTTAAAGTACATTCTGCAAACCAATTACTATAAAGTAGTCCCATTGATATTATAGTCAAACGATTTTCAAGTATGCAATCGGGGCTAATCTATCAGGCCATGGTGGAGCTTTGAGCTCAAGGGAAAAAACAGATGGAAACCTACTAGAGAAGGTGTGGGTAGTCTGCTGTCCTCCAGATGTTGTTGTACTCCAACTCCCATCAGCCTTAGCCAGAATGGCCAACGGCCAGGGATGATGGGACTTGGTAGTCCTGCAAAACCCGGAGGACCACAGATGAGAAACCAGAGGGATGGATGGGGACATAGTTCTACTGTTGACCATATGTTTTGTGTGGATAAGGTTCCAGATTCAATCTTTCCAGCTGAAACTCAAGTAGCAAAGCTGCAAAAGACTCTTGCTTGAGATCGTTCACATCCCAGCCCACAATGCAGGTGATTCTTACTTTAATCTCATAGGCATACTTTTGATTTGACATTATTCAAGCAAGCAATTCTGTGATGGCCTGGGATTCAGACTCGGAGGCTGAACCTGAGGAATCCCAGCCTGCACAGGAGTCCCCGCCTCCAGAACCAGCTGAGCCGGGGCTGGAACTTGAGCCTGAAGGGTCCTCACCTGTGCTGGATCCTCAGGTGCAGGCACCAGCTGAGTCTGCTCTGGCTCCTGAGGTGATGGAGGACCCATTGCCTTCAGGTGCTCCACTCTCAGCCCCGTCAGGGGAAGCTGAGGTTGCCTCTGGGTCCGGTAACCCTCCAGCCTCTCCTGAGCTGCAGAGGCTCAGGGCAGAGAGGCGGAGGGAATTAAGTTCCTGCAGCAGGAGTGCTTGCCTCCAGGCCAGGAGAGGTGAGTCACCTGTGGACCGGGGCAGCCCTATGCCTCGGGGCAGATAAAAGCCAGCCAGCCCCAGGTTGCAGGAGCAACATTGTTGGTAGCCTGTTCCTGCCTGCACCCTGTCCTGCTCTCCTGCCAGAGTTCCTGACCTTGGATCCCGCTTCAGCTTTGACGGACAGCCTCCATATCACACCCTTGATCTTGACTGGACTCGGACTGGACTTAGAATCATAGAATCATAGAGTTGGAAGAGACCACAAGGGCCATCGAGTCCAACCCCCTGCCAAGCAGGAAACAGGACTTGGACCTTGCCGCACGGTTAACCCTTGGGACCAGCACAAATTCCCATTTTATTTATGAGGCATGCCTGTCCCAGATTCTCAATGGCCTCCCCTCTCCTTCTGAACCAATCCTACCTCTGTTAGTCATATCCCAATGTTACTAGACCTTTAACCCCCATTTGTGGTTGCCAGATTGCAGCTCAGCGGTAGAAGTTCCCAGGTTCATTCCCAGCATCTCCAGGTAGGGCTGAGGGAAAACCTTTTCTGAAATCCTGAAAAGCGACTTCTAGTCACTGTAGACAAGACTGAGCTAGAAGTTCCTGTGCTCCTACCGACAAATGACATTTTGATTCATCATTGCTGACTAGGAAGCTGTGCCAGGAGCAGATTATGCATGCAGCAACAATCTTAAAAACCATTGTACAAAGTCTTCATGAACAATTAGAAGGCAATTAGAAAGAGCAGAAAACCACACGTAGCCAATCTGCAGATGATCTACAGCCTAGAACAGAGCTAATCCATGCAAGCTTTTAGTGAAAAGCCGTATCTTCAGTCAGGAGCCCTGAAAAGTAGAGGTAGCGGGACAAGTTTATGTGGGAGAACATAACTGTGCATGATTTGCTAGTTAGTATATGAAGGGGTTAAGAAACACAGAGTTTTAATTGCTAGAGTAGGCTCAGTAAGGTCATACCCCCCTCACCGCTGTGAGGGAGGAAGTGGTGTGTTTCTTCTCTTCCTTTCCTTATTCTCTTCTTCATTATGTAAGCCATGGAGGAGGATGTGCCTCACAATAACTCCCAGCTATTTCCCTGTATTTCCACCCAAGAAAACTATACCTGTGTTGTTTTTACCGCATGGTTAAACCATGTTATTGATCAATGGGCTGACCTTTTTAGGGATTACAAGCATCTCAGCAGGTATCACAGTTTTGGACTTTGCAGCTGAAGGATTTTTTCATGACAATTTTGGGATAGCCCAACTGGAACTCTTCCAGTGATAACATGGTGTGCTTCGAATAGAGATTACAGTCCTTTTGCTTGCAAAAGTATACATTGTCTTTTTATAGCTCCTCTGTTTCCCTTCCCTGCTCTTCTGACTTCTGTTTCCTCTTCAGTTAGCCACCAGAGGTAATCAGAGAACTGAAACATCTGCATGTCAAAACAAATAGACGCATTCTGCAATTGCTGCTTTGTTTTCAATTGTTAATGGTATCAGATGCGTTCAGTCGCTGTGCGTGCTTTCCCAGTCAATGTGTTATATACAGACCTTTTCTTTTGCAGGCTTAGTGTCAACATGGTTTGAACACATCCCATTTCTCTTATTCCGCTTTGCTTTTATCTGTGGTAAGATTTAAGCTACCATCTAAGATGTGGCCACAGATCTACACCTGAAGGTTTCAATTAGGGCACATGCTATTTTGAGACTGCTGAGAGACCGCAGTGCTTCTCCCCACAAGTCTCTTGGCTTTGTGTACCTGATGGAATTGTCCAGCATCTTTGCAATCATTCTGTTTGACCACAATCTCTAATTGGATGCACCAGAGTTTCCAAGTGGTGAGCAGGAATTAAGCTCATGTTTGCAATTAGCTCCACTCAATCAGATGTCTTGTTTCTCTCCTTGTTTTCCTTCCTTGGGGACAATTGTTTCCACCAAATACTTTTTTACGCTCTCGGAGGCAATTGTTTTTGTATTTCATCCAAAGGGTAGGACCGTTAGACCACCTGCCCGAACAAATAAAAACAAGAATAGCTTCCACCTGTAGTAGAATCTGCCATTCTGGACACCTGGACGGGGGACGGGACCTTAAATAAAAAATGTAGAAGGATGGCTAGATCAAAAAGGGAAAGGAAGTTAAGAAGAGTCTTGCTGGATCAGAACAAAGGCCTATCAAGTCCAGTGTTCTGTTTTCATAGCAGCCAACCAGTTGCCTATGGGAAGCTCAGAAGCAGGACATGAGCTCAACGCAACAATGCGTTCCTATTGGTCTGTCATTGGCTGGTTGGATGTAGAGGAGTGGTGGGAGACACCAGTCAGGGAACCCCCGGGGAAGAAGGCTCAGAACCAGGGAATTGGTGGTGGAACAATGATAAGTGGTTGGAGGGAGAAGGAGCAGACTGGGAGGAGGAGGTGTCAGAAGCAGAAGAGGTGACAGGGTTTAGTGAACAGGAAGAGGCTGCGCTAGAGCACAGTTCAGACTCCGAGGCAGAAGCCGAAGCCAGGGAGTTTCCCCCTCATGCTGTGACCAGCTCTCCTCCCATCTGGTCTCCTAGAACACACCAAGAAATGAAACGAGCAGAGCAAAGGAGGGTTTGTGCGCAGACACAGCCTGAGACTGTGTGGGAAAGACCTGGGTGGGGGAGTCCTAGAAGGCACTGGGAAGGCAGGGACCTTCAGTCCTTGCAAGATGTCCTGGAAAGAGTTGCTGAGACCACTAGGCCGGAGCTATGGTTTGTTTCCTTGAATAAAGAATTCACTCCACTGGCCTTGGTTGATTTATTGCTTCACTGCTGACCTATGCTTGACTCCAGCCCTGACCTGAGACTCATCTACACTGGTCAGTTAAAACATTAGAAATGTGTTGTAAGAACGTGACACTGGAGGGCACTGTAGAGCAGTGATCTGTTGTCAATGTAAGATTGCATTGAGAGCTATACTAAGGGTTTGTTTATTTTTACAGCGTTTTCCAGATCAGTGTAGATCCAACCATGGTCCTATTACAGGAGAACACCAGGTCCAAGAGCCAAGGTCTGTGTGGCATCTGACCTTCAACACTTCCACCCCACCCCACATATGTCCCCCCAGTCCTGCTCCGAGCCTCCTTTGAGGGCTTTTGCTTCTTTGGAATGTGCTCTCGAACTGTGATGATGACTCTTCCTTCTGTGCATGGAGGACAGAGGGTGTGTGTGTATAAACCTCTGACTTTAGCATGGCTGGAATGTACCCAACTGTGCAGAGGTAAGAGACACATTCATTGTTCCACCTACTTTTGCCTCTGCTCCTGCCCAATGTTTGTTGCCCGTGAGGTAACTCAGCCCTCAGGCTGAAGAAGGTTCCACAGCCCTGTTCTACCACCTAGAAAGAGAAAATGATTGTTTTATTATAAGCCACTTTTGGTGCTCTTTTCTTGTGTACACAGAGAATTATCATCTAGCTCTGCAGCTATGGGAGAACACTAAACCAATTTGGCTCTCTAATTCATTCTTCTTCTTTTGCCAGTGCTAGTTAAGGGTGCCATGGACGAGGGCAGGAGAGGGAAGCTTATCCTCCAAAATCTAATGTATAAAGAAAGGTTCTCTGACTTGAATCAACTCTGAAACAATGCCAGTTCTATTCAATGCTAACAACTAATTATAAGTCTGGCTTTACCGTTTTGCAGGTTTGAACATTTTGGCCATAAATCTCGACTTTGACACATGGGTTTCAAAGCCAACATAACCACCTTGAATCCCATAATTACTGCCAGGTCTAGGTTTTGTTTCTCTGCTCCTCTCCCACTGCATTCATCTTGACAAATAATAAGACTCACAATGAGTTTTCTGCCCGTTTTAACCTGTGGAAAATTAATACATTTCAATCTATAAATAAAAATAAATCAGTGACTGAAGTTTTCAACTAAACTGATTGATACAATGAAATCTATGGGACATCAACTAGCAGGCTTCAAGGTTATTTTCCTATTTACAGTTTCCAATGTCCTTTGTAGCCATGCTAATTCCAGGATTTGACAACTCTCTGCAGTCTGTTTTCCCCAAAACATATCTGAAGCAATTTAAATGTGTCTCCTGCACATTAAGATGTCAGCAAATTTTGCTTAGGGCATTTTGGTTTGGAAACATGTTCCCTAAACCACAGTGGGGCAAGATAAATACAGGCTGACAGATACGCCTTGAAATCTCCGGCAAGTTTTTATGTAAACAATGATCTGACTGAAGTTTTATTCTTAAACAAGGATTTATCATTATTATCAAATTTCACTGCTAGTGTTCAGGGCACTGAGCACAAATTCATGGAGGATAAGGCTGTCAGTGCCTTCCAGCCATGATGGCTATGTTATTTTTCCACTTTGGAGGCAGTATGCCTCTGAATACCAGTCGCTGGGAATCACAATTGGTGTTGTCCTTAAGTCCTGTTTGTGGGCTTCCCATAGACAGCTGGCTGTGAGAACAGGAAGCTTGACTTGATAGGCCTTTCAGCCTGTGTGAAATGCATTGTTGGCATCTGTCAGTCTCGAGAGACAATGGAGTGCACCTCCGGGGGTGAGGTGATAACTGCTGTGTTATCAGCACCAAAGTGACTTCTCTGGGGCACAAGCCTGGACAGTATGTATGGTGCCCAGACGGCAAGACCCCCCCCTCTCAGCCTCAGAGAGCCAGTGTGGTGTAGTGGTTAAGAGCGGTGGACTCGTAATCTGGTGAACCGGGTTCGCGTCTCCGCTCCTCCACATGCAGCTGCTGGGTGACCTTGGGCTAGTCACAGTTCTCTGAAATCTCTCAGCCTCACTCACCTCACAGAGTGTTTGTTGTGGGGGAGGAAGGGAAAGGAGAATGTTAACTGCTTTGAGACTCCTTCGGGTAGTGATAAAGCGGGATATCATATCCAAACTCTTCTTCACTGATGTGGTCCAAAAGAAAGCACAGCAATATGTTTGACAGCAGTTTGACTGCAGGAATTTACTGGCAGGAGGGGTACAAGGCGTCATCCAACTATCGTAGGGATTCCACTCCAGATTTGTGTAGGATTTACACCTTAGCCTTTTTTCTCTCCTGCAAGTCAACAGCGGATCAGAGTCTTCCTTCTCCTAAATGGGCTACCTTCCCAGGTTCCTCTACAGTACGTGCAGAAACCACCTACTTCACCGTTGGACACACTATTGGTCTTGTCCATTCAATTGGCTGGAGCCTGTCTTCCCATGCTGGGGAAGTCCCTAATTTACTGAGGGTTTGAAACCCTTCAGCTGCTCTCACCTGGTTTAGCCGGCCAGTCGAAGCCATTTCCCAGGGTGTGGTCTCTGTCAAATGCTGACACACAAAAACTGCATATTAAAAGGATAAATGACACTATAATGCCAGCACTCAGGTGCAGATGAACTGAACTTAAATTTGGGGAAATGAGTAACAGAGCAAAACTGCAATTGACAGATTTCTCCATCCCTAATTTTCCCTCAAAGGATTTGGAGACATCTGAAATATATCCTTTGGAAAGGTAACACAGACCTGCTTTGGAGTTGACTGACATATATTCTTGAAGATTCTACATGTAGTTGTTTGCACAATAATCCTCAAATTCTTTGATAGGCTGGAAAATTCCGTACAAGTAATCCCACTAAGAATACAGTTTGCATCTTGAAACTTGTTGAAATTCCTGCGGTAATGACATTTCCTTCTAGCTGGGCAATGAACGTTTAAATAAAGGAAGTTTATATCTTCCTGTAACTTAGGTAGTTAATCTCCCAGTCTCATTTTACACAAAACACACTCGCGGAAATATAGAAGAGCCACTATGCTAAGTATATATTGTAAACACAATGGATAGTGACAAGCATTCAAATTTAGTGGTATTACTAATGGACTAACTTCCACCTTACATTATTTTCATTTCCCTATTTTGCACCTAAAAGTATGTTGATACTGATATCAGTTGCATCTGAGGCAATGGAAGTAATGAAGGTTTACCAGGCTTGCATGATGAGCATGCTGCTTTATGGAAGTGGAGAGTCTCAAACAAAGATGTGCTCTCCCAGGTCCACATTCCCAGCATGTTCGCACTCCTGTCTCAATGACATCAATACTCAATGACGTCCACAGAATAGAAGATGGCAGGATCCCCAAGGATGTGCTCTTTGAGGAGCTGGCTTCAGGCACCATACCTGCGCCACAAAAATGTCTGCAAACGTGACGTGAAGACAGACAACATCAGCACCGCTGTGCGGGAATCTCTTGCCAATGACTACAGTGCAAATGACAATTAGTCAGCTTGCGTATCCACAGCAGTGACCAGAGAAGTTATGACAACTGGGAGGAGTGCAGAAAGAAGAAATGCCATGGTACACCTGCACTGGTACAACCAGAAACTTTCAACTGCCCCAGCTGCAACAAAACATGTCTCTCTTGTATCAGTCTCTGCAGCCACAGCAGGTGCCATAACTTTCCAATAGTTTGACTTTACCCCTGAAGGCACATTCTTCCATTGTCTCCTGAGACAGACAGATGCCAGCCATCCTAGCAAGCTTAAACTGCTGGGAATAAGGAAAGACAAAAGAAATTAAATGTCTGTGGATTGCATCAGCCCCATGCCCAGAAATGGGTTGCATAGCAAAATCTCATAGCGAGTGACTAAAGAGTTAATATCTGTGCCCTGTTAATGAGAGCTTGTCGAACCAGTGACCCAGAGCTAAAAGGTACAGCCAGCTAGAGATTAGGTCTCCTTTATAAGTTAGAACAGCAAAACTGGAGTGTTTAAGAGTGGAACTCATGTTCCTAATTACTAACCAAGCAAAGGGGAAGCACACCAACACGCTGTGCTTTTGCCTGGTCAAAGGAATGTAAACCAGTATCTTTTTGGATCCAGTATGGTACAGGGGGTTTGTTTTGTGTTTAAAAAAATGCTAGAAGTTTGAAAGCCATTCTCTTCATTTTAAATAATTTCCTGGACTGCTTTCAAATAAACCGATCAGACACAACAGTGCGTGGGGCTCCCGTAAGAGGGAATTTTTGGCAAGGGCACCTTGTTGCCATGTAGATTGACAAAAACAGCACTGCTAAAAAAGCTCTCATCTCTGGAATTGTTCAAAGGTGTCCTCCTTCACTCTTTGGGAATCTGACTGGCTCTGGGCTTGTTTCTTGGCCTAATTCGAAAGGCTGGTTCTGACCTATGAAGCCCTAAACAGTTTGGGCCTGGGGTTTGTAAAAGACTGCTTATTTCCTCTGATTTAGTCTCTTGTTATTATTTTCTGTGAACAGCATCCTCAAGGGCAAATGACAGTCTGGGGGGGGGGGCGGGGGCGGGTGGTATTTTAAGCAGGAAACTGCATGTTTCTTCGAAAGAGAAGCAGTGAGTTTTTCAAAAACTTGTTTGCTGAAATATGTAATTTGAACCTACAACCTTCATCAGAGGTTCTTCTTTGAGTGCCCCAACCTCCAGAGGTTATTGGCATGCTGCTAGAGGTAGGGTCTTCTTTGTGGTGGCACCACATTATAGAACTCCCAAAGCTGCAGTGGTGTGTGAAGGGCTGCCCCTAACATGGATGGGGTAGGGGGAGGTTGTGGGAGCTCTAGGTTGCTGAACCAACCTGGATCCTGTGATCATCACGTGAGGCCTTTCTCTGTGTGTTCCCTCCATAGGAGGTCTGGAGGGTGGCAACACAAGAACAGGCCTTTTCAGTGGTGGCTGCTTGCTTGTGGAATGCTCTCTCTCCCCAGGAAACCGGCCTGGAGCCATCATAATACATCTTTGGGCACAAAGCACAAACATTTCCTTTCTGTTAGGCCATTGGCTTTTATCTGTGGTCTCCTTGAGCGGGTGGGATGTTTCAATCCACAAATATGATTGCCTTTTGGATTTTCCTTTGTTTGTTTGTTTGTTTGTTTGTTTGTTTGTTTCATAGAATCATAGAATTGTAGAGTTAGAAGGGACCCCACGGGTCATCTAGTCCAACTCCCTGCAATGCAGGAATCTCAGCTAAAGCATTCATAACATAGCCATCCAATCTCGGCTTTAAAACCTCCAAGGAAGGAGAGTCCACAACCTCCTAAGATTTTCAAGCAGCTCTTACTCTCAGAAAGTTCTTCCTGATGTTTAGTCGGAATCTCCTTTCTTGCAGCTTGAAGCCATTGGTTCGAGTTCTACCTCCCAGAGCAGGAGAAAACAAGCCTGTTCCCTCTTCCATGTGACAAAGCCCTTGAGATATTTGAAGTTGACTATCGTATCTCCTCTCAGTCTCCCCCTTTTCCAGGCTAAACATACCCAGCTCCTTCAACCTTTCCTCCTTGTTATTGTTGTAAGTCACTGATATATTTTTGTAGAAACAGCAACTAATAAGTTTAATAATGAAATAAAAACCTGGAGTGCCTCTGATTTCATCACCAGGTCACCCCAGCATGGAGCAGCAGCAGTTCCAATCTACCACCTCATGTGCAGCTGCTGTCCTTAAACACATTGGCAGGACTCTCCTTTATATGCTTAGCTAAGTCTGTCCTTTTTGCCTGAGACTTTAATAGGAATTAATTCTGTCCTTATTTTAGCTGCTGCTTACCTGTCTATTCAGTTTTTAGGCTGGGCTATTTAATGTGTTGGATTCACTTCTCAGATTTGTTGTTTAGGACACATCTGGGATTGCAATGTCCATGGATGAGATTGAAACCCCAACATTACCTGTTGAATGTCTACAGGCAAAGGGTTGGGTGCTTCTGCTAGCAGAAAATGTTTGCAAGCTTAACTCACATGCATGTTGCAAGTGCTTCGCTGAAGGGAATAATAAGGCTTTTCAGTTTAAGACAAGAATACTTTCAGGTTGCAGAAAATCCCCTCAGATTAGCCTCTCATTTTAGTGAGCCTTGATGTGAAACTTTTGAAGTTTGTAGTTTGGAAGGAAATTCAGCTGTCTCTCCAAATTTGCAATAGGATGCAAAGCTTACCTTGCTTACTCCAGAGTTTCCCACCCATGAAGGGAAAATAGGGGATCATGGATTGAACCCTACGACTTACCCTCCAATCCCCTGTGGCTTGGCAAGGAAAGAGGAACTCTGAGCCCAGTCTTACAGGTGAGAACAACTCCCCCTACCCACCCTCCTTTGGCTGGCTGCTGTGCTGAGCTGGAAGCAGAGACGGTACTTGCTGTCAGAGCTAAGAAAAATCATGACAATAGTATTTCTGTTCAAAAAAGCCTTAATGAGCTCATGGTGGTTGTTGATTTATAGGGAGACATACTCCACCTAAGTTTTGTGACATCTTTTTTCCCTCTGGCCTTGCTTTTGTGCCTTTGACAGCAGCCTAGAAGGTAAAAAACCAGTTTTGACTTGGAAAAATCTGACACGTAGCAGTCCAGTGTGAGGGTCCCTGACTATTTGTGCCCTTGCAGCAGGTTGATCTCTTGATCCAGCCAAAATTAAGCATTTTTACAATCCTATGGATTTCAGTGGGAGAGAATGAAGCATATACTGTATTTTTTGCTCTATAAGACTCACTTTTTCCCTCCTAAAAAGTAAGGGGAAATGTGTGTGCGTCTTATGGAGTGAATGAAGGCTGCGCAGCTATCCCAGAAGCCAGAACAGCAAGAGGGATTGCTGCTTTCACTGCACAGCGATCCCTCTTGCTGTTCTGGCTTCTGAGATTCAGAATATTTTTTTTCTTGTTTTCCTCCTCCAAAAACTAGGTGCCTCTTGTGGTCTGCTGCGTCCTATAGAGCGAAAAATACAGTAGGTAAATCTCATGGTGAAATCAATAAGGCCTAGCTGTCTTTAACTTTGGCCAGCTTTGAGTGGGTTGCGTTTCCTATGTCATATATTAAAGTTTTGATGCCCTATGGCCAAGGGTGGGCAATTTCTAGCACGGGTGTCAAAAATGAGATAGGGAGCAGGAGTTTGTGCTGCACCTCGATCAGACAGCTTGTGAGATCTGCTACAACATAGTCATTGTGATGGTCTTTAAATAAGGACAATAGTTCGTGGGTTTGGGATGAGGTGAGATAAGGTGCAGAATGGCCAAGATTCAATCCCTCATTTCTCCAGGCAGGGCTGGGAAATAGATAATGAAAAAAGGTCCTGCCTAAAGCTCTGGAGAGCTGCTGCCAGTCTGAGTAGGCAGTACAAAGTTAGATGAACCAATGGTCAGACTCAGTATAAGGCAGCTTCTGATGATCTTGTGCTCATGCTTATTGACTCTTTTCAAGCACTGAGCAAAACCACCCCAAGTATTCTTTTTTTATCACTTTCTCTCTCTCTCTCTCTCTCTCTCTCTCTCTCACACACACACACACACATGCAGCTAACCAGTGGCCTTTGCATCCACAAGTTGTAGTGATGGCCCCCAACTTGAATGATTTTCAAAGAGAATTAGACCAACTGTCAGGAGCATGCCCCTCCCCTGAGCACAGCGGAAGAGTTGGCCTCAGAAATTGAGCTAAGCAGACAAGGGGCCGACCCTGCAGATGAGACCTGTTTGTCAGAGTTTAGAGAGGACAGCCCGGCCCCGCTCCTTCCCAGGGAAGAAGCTGTTAGCTCTCAAGGAGAGGAGGAGTTAGGAGTCGGCCAGAGCATTGCCAGGCAACCATCAGATAAGCCAGAGTCTGCGACTATGTCTTCTGAGAGTGGAGTGGGGGGTGGAGACAGGCCATCCATTCAGTCCCCTTACTAGGAGATGGGAGAAGCTCAGAGAACAACAAAAAGGGAGGAGGAGAAAGGCTGGATTTTGGCGTTCTGCCTGTTGGGGGAGGGACGATGAGTCAGACTGACCAACTACTGTCAATGAGCACAGGCAGGAAGGCCGAGCTCTGAATGTGTTTCTCCTTGTAAATAAACTTACATAAAACTGACAGAGAGTCGTTGCTGCTTATCAGGCTGCTTGCTTGTCAGAGATCATTAACCCCCTTCTTATGTTCTTATACAGATTTTTAAAAATTAATTAATTAATTAAACACTACCATTATTATGGCACAGTAGGTGGCGCTGTGGGTTAAACCACAGAGCCTAGGACTTGCCGATCAGAAGGTCGGCGGTTCGAATCCCCATGACGGGGTGAGCTCCCGTTGCTCGGTCCCTGCTCCTGCCAACCTAGCAGTTCGAAAGCACATCAAAGTGAAAGTAGATAAATAGGTACCGCTCCGGCGGGAAGGTAAACGGCGTTTCCGTGTGCTGCTCTGGTTCGCCAGAAGCGGCTTAGTCATGCTGGCCACATGACCCAGAAGCTGTACGCTGGCTCCCTCGGCCAATAAAGCAAGATGAGCGCCACAACCCCAGAGTCGGTCACGACTGGACCTAATGGTCAGGGGTCCCTTTACCTTTACTATCTTAAATTCCTTAGTAGTGAATGTTACAAATAAAGTAATTACAGTTCACCATGTTTTGTCACGGGGGAAGATATATCAGCTATTACGGGAGAACCCTGCTAGTTAGGAACGCAACATGAAAATAAGCATCTTTGTTTCCAGCTACAAAATGCTAATGACATTTCAGTCATTTTGCTACGAAAACTGTGCATGGTACTGCATTATAATTTTGTGGTTATTTTATCGCGCCTGGTCTCAACACACCGGGAAGGAAAAATAAGGCTGCTGGAAGCTATCTTACATCTGAGTTAATGAAACAGCAGGAGTCTTTTTCAGAAGCCAAGATGAAGCTGGAGTTGTTGTTTTTCTTTTCTTTTTTTAATTGTTCTCGAGCTTATTATATTTATAGAAATATATTATGTGTAACCCTCCTGGATCAAGACGTCCTGGCTCTTTGTAAGCTTCATGAGAAAAGCTGTGAACCATTTATCCAGTGTGTATTAGCTCCAAGGACGGATTTGCTATCAGAAGGATTTCTCTTGAACGATGCCCAGTCTGGTCTTTACATTAGAATGGGGAGGGGGTGAATGAAAAGTCTGGTGATACCATCAAAGCATTCCTTAAATTTCAGTAGAATGGCCTTGCTGGTGCAAAAGAAGAGGCATCATTTCCTCCAGGGCCAGGAACATCATCTGATCCCAGTGACCCGAAGTTCTAGGCCATTTACAGGCCACATCATCAAACACTTGCAGCATTCTTCCAGATCAGGGATAGCCAAAATGGCACCCTCCTTATGTTACTGGACTACAACTCCCACAATCCCTGACCATGGTCCATGCTGGCAGGGGCTGATGGGAGCTAGAGTGCGTCAATATCTGGTGGGCAGCAGGTTCCCCATCCTCAATCTAGATCCCACTGCAGCTGAGTGACTTTTGTCTTTTGTGTTGTTGTTGTTGTCGTCATCAGGCATTTTTATCTGCCTCATTATCTTCCAGCAAAAGGAAGCTATAGATCCAGCAAAAGCTTCTTAAAACCCTCCATAGGCTTGTTCCCCCTTCTCTCTTTGCTGCTCCAGCTCCAACACTCTCCATCATCTGATAACGCCTCAAAACGCCCAGCCCTTTTTCATTTGCTGCCTCATATAACTTGAATTGACTCCTCCTGAAGAACCTGACTTGAAGAACCTCCTGGTCCACCTGCCCTCGTGTAACTCAGCCTATAACTAAACATAACTTCAGATCTGTTCATTAAATGTATTTACTGCAGTCCATAAAATGCCAGACCATTAATAGATACACATGCCACTGAAATAATATTGTTCATTCATTCATTCATTCATTCATTTTATTTGTATTTCACTTTTCCACACACACACAAAATCATGCTCAAAGCAGCATACAACAAGAGAAACATACATTTCAAACAAGCACTACGGAAACAATTTCATGATGTCATTGCAAAACATCAAAAATAGTAACAAGGTCATAGTAACATAGCAAAACAATAGCAAATATCATAACATACAAAAAACACATTTCAATATTAAAAATATAACAAGTTTCCTTGAATCACACACACATCTTCTTCCATTTAACTTTGCCTTTCCTCCCCCCGCCCCTGCCCTTCCCATATTTTTGCTCCCTGTAAGCGCCTCGCAGCAAAGGCCTGTCCATTTCTCCATTTGTAGAATGCTGCCTAGCACCTAAAGATATGTAATGAAGACGCCAGGCGAAAACATTCCTCTTCCCCCAGGCCTTTTGCTAATTAAACAATTAATGACCTTTTAAACTGTGGGGTGGGGGGGATATTGTTTTTGTTTATTATTGTGCTATGTATTATTGTGTTTTTATATTGCAAGTTGCCCTGTGATTCTCAGATAAAGGGTGGTGTAGAAATAATAATAATAATAATAATAATAATAATAATAATACACAGTGCATATCCTTCTGTAATACAAACAATTTTGTATGCATGTTTTGGTTGGAGAAATGCATTGCACAATTCAGAAAAGTTTGGATTTGTATGGATAGCAGTGTTTCGATTTGAGGATTGTCTTGGGAACTGTGGATTAAAATGTGAATCAAAATGAATTTGTCTCCCCTTATTTATTATTTCAGCAAAGGCAGCAGCTCTTCATAATTCTTCTGGAATGAGTCTGTGCCGCTGTCTAAGTGACTGAATTGGCTGCTTCCATGCTATGGCATTCCTTATTTGTAAAATATGCTCTATTTTCTCACACACTGAACCTCTCTTGAACCCACATTCACCACTGTCCAAAACATAGTCTACATGCAGGTGCAGGCTGCAACTGCTTTACATTTTTCTTTCAATAAATGGTCTTTGAAAGTAATACAGAGCACATAAGGAACAAAAACACAGTCATTACTGGAAAGGGGAAGCAAATATTTCCATTGTGAAAGTGTATTATCTCCCAGATTTTATTTTTTAGGAATGAACAATGCACACTATTAAGAGAAGTTATTTTCCCTCTCATCTTCAATGGTTTCCCCATTGTTCCCCATGTAATGAGTGAAATGAAGTTGGAGAATGGCCCCATCAGCACTTTACATTCAAAGAAGCATTATACCTTTATAAGTGGTTATGGTCCCCTGTACCAAGAATTCTGGGTTAAGGGTGCTTAACTTACTATTCTCCTCACAAAGCTACAATTCCTGGAGTTCTCTCAGAAGAGAGATTGATTGTTGAGCCACTCTGGGAATTGTCCAGCAGAGATCCCTACAAGACCATTTCCCCCAGAACATACCTATTCCACCCCCGCTTGTAGTATTTACAAAATTGCAGCCGACCCACAAATACTATATTAGAAGGAACAAACTTGATAAAACAGTGTGCTACTACCAAATTATATACAAAACTGAATCTTCTCCACTTCCTTTCTTTGCTTGTGTCACGAGGCCACTTGTCAAAGTTAACCTGTGGAAGATGGAGAAGGGAAAGATCTGGCTGAAGCCAGTTCCCCACCTGTACTATAAGAGGATGTATCCATACATCAGAGGTATTTTAGGGTAGCACAACTGGTTCGGCCACACTAGGCACTGCACTCCAGGGGGCGCCACAACAATGCTGTAGAACGTAATGGAAGAGGTGGGGGCAATTTTTAACCTCTCACAGGGCGTTGCTGAAATTTGAGAGGCAAAAGTTTGCCACTACACTCATGGTTCCCTCTGATTAAAAAAATGAAAAATTGTCCAGTAGCACCTTAGAGACCAAATTTATTGTATCTGAGGAAGTGTGCATGCACACGAAAGCTTATACCAAGAACAAACTTAGTTGGTTTCTAAGGTGCTACTGGACAATTTTTTAATTTTTTAATTTATTTCGACTGCGTCAGACCAACACGGCTACCTACCTGAATCTAGGATCCTTATGATGATTTCTTTGTGGTGTCCTCACAGTTATATATGCAATGACTCTGTGGTAATGTTACAATTATGTTTGTGCATGAATTTCTCTCCTCCCCTTCTGCGATATAGGATAAATAATGTTGCCTAACCATAAAGCATTGCCATAAAGCAAGGGCAGATAACCTATGGCCCTCCAGAGGTTGCTGGAGTCCCCTCTTCTGGCATCCCTTTCACTTCATCAGACATGTCTAGTCCTAGAAAACATTTGCCACAATAACTTTGGGGATCTTCTGGTGCTATTTGACAAGTAAAAGGTTCTTCAACAAAGTTATGAGGCAATCCTATGCCTGGGGTTAAGTTACTTTGAATTAAGGGAATTAAGGTTGTAATCCTATACATAGTTATCCAGGAGTAAATTCCACTGAATCCAGTAGGACTTACTTCTGAGAATGCATGTACAGGAATGCAATGTTACTGCTGAAGAGACAAGATTCTGTGGTAAAATATTTTGATTCCACATAGGAAGAAGGTGGAAATGGGCAAAAAGTGTTTCTGCCCATTTTACATGTTGGACAGAAAACACAGCCATTTCACATGACTTTGCTAAAGCAATTAGTGGGTTCCAGTATACGTAGTAATTGTCATGGAAACCACATCACAAACCACATTTCTGGCCCAGAGTCATTACCCATCTAATAGGAATGGAACAACCTACAAATATTTTAAAATTTGCCTTTGTGGAAGATATAGCCTCTGTATTAAATATCCATCCAGTTCAAACCAAGTC